ATAGGGTTTCTCTCCAGTATGTGTTCTTTTATGCAATTGAAGATAATCGCGTCGTGCAAAGGCTTTACCACACTGATTACATTCATAGGATTTCTCTCCAGCATGTGTTCTTTTATGATTTTGAAGATCAGTTTGACATGCATAGGCATTACCACACTGATTGCATTCATAGGGTTTCTCTCCAGAATGTGTTCTTTTATGACTTTGATGAGTTTCATAGACAACAAAGTCTTTATCACCTTGACTATATTCATAGGATTTTTTTCCAGAGTGTTTTCTTTTAAGCACTTGAAAAGGACTGTGATAAAAAAAGGCTTTACCACACTGCTTAAATTTAGAACACTTTTCTCCAGTATCTGTTTTTTTAATTCTTAGAAGGTGAGTGTCATAAGACAAGGCTTTAACACAGGGAGTATACCCTGAAAGTTTCTTCTGTCCATTTTGATTTCTTTCAATCCTGCAATGATAATTGGCACTTTTTAAAGCTTTACCACATTCAATACACTGTTAAAACTTATATCTATATAAATTAATTTTATAACTTATTCCAATTTTAAAGAGGAATTGGTTATTAAGGTTTCATAACTTGGTTTAAAATAATGTTTGCTTTTTAATTAGGGGTCAGTTTGCATCAAAAAAATTAGTATGATGATAAATTCCTTTGTTTCATGGTTTACCTTTTCACATTGACAAAAATATTTTCATATGATATTATTCACATTTTTGAAGACAACTGAGTACTTTGAGAACTTTACCAACTTTATTACATTCATAAATTTACTATACTGTGAATCATATTACATTTGCTAGGTGAACTAGGATATTCAGAAGTATTTACATAGACCTAGAACTCATGGGGCATTTTTGTAATGTTCATATATTAATACTGATGGTTTTCTACCATCAGTATTGTATACTTGAATCAAATTCAACAAGTATACTCTACATGGGAACTACTGCTTACCTTCTTTTTGTTCTTAAAGAGAGGTATGTTAAATCTTTCCATATCCCTATGCTCATAAGTTTATATCAAGTGTAGTGTATGATACACATAGGAAAGGAAGAATAATTCACATACATGAAACTGGGGTATATAGATTTGTGAGAACTTAATAACCATCTATGCACTTAAAGCTGTGCTTATTTGCATTGTTGCTTTTATTTAAAAGTTCCAGGATGAAGTGCAATCTCATCAGAGACACACTGTTATCAACATGCACATGAAAATTACCTTGCATTTCTTCTAGAACATTGCCAATGTTCTTCAGTGATATGGTCTTCCACAATGTATCCTAAAATACAGGACCAGAAAATATGTTATATCATTTAACAATGTGCAACATTTAGCTAATTATCTTAAGTGCACCTAAGAACTATGACTGCTTTATTCATCTGATTCTTATTTTTAAATCAAGTTGCAGAACAACACCCTTAACCAAGGAAAAATTGTTTCCATATTTTGAAACAGAAAGGAAATTCATTTTTACCTATAGAAATGAGGTTCCTGTAGGTCTCCAGCATTACATCTTTATAGAGATTCTTCTGGAAAGAATTCAGCAAATCCCACTCTTCCCGGGTGAAGTTGATATGCACATCATCATAGGTCACTGCCTTCTAAAATATACCACACATGTGGAAAATGGAAAGCATGAAAGTGACAAAGTTGGAAATGCATACTTCTTTCAGAGTACAGACATATGATTCTGGTGTTCCTTACTCTTATTCCATGGCATAGACAGTAACTTTAGAGGGAAATTGAAATGCAGAGTCAACTCTATCATTTCTGTACCCTTTGTATGGGATACCACCTCATAAGAGCAATGTCTATTGAGAGGAAGAGACAACAAAAAAGATCAACAATATAGAGTATGCATGAGAAAATTGTACAAAGAGTTACAGACCACACAAAAAAAGTAATATGGACACTCTGCGTGTATCGGTATATTGTTCTTTTAACCACAACACTCAGAAAACAGAGGTGAGTATATTTGTCTTAGACTTGAATGCCAGTAAAGTCTGTGTAATCAGGTCCAAGACAGGTAGAAGTCCACATTAAGACACTGTCTCCATTGCAAAAATCAGTGAAACAAACAAGTGGGATAGAAAGAACTGAAAGGCGTTTATTGAAGTTCTTACAAATAATTTTGCATTCACTCCAGTTCTGAATTCATCTTCCAGACATCTGAAGTGCCATAATTTAAACTGTAATTCCAATAACATTTTGTAGAAAGGAAGTTCATGTATAAAGCAGTTAAAATAGACAGATGAAAGCACTAGAAATATAAATGTTGGTCATAAATAATCAACACAGAGCTGGAGAGAGGGCAGAGTAATTCAGAGTTGTTGCTGGTTTTGAATGGAGGTGGGCACATTTTCCAGGACTTACAAGGGGACCACAACTTTTCATTGTTCCACAACCAGGAATTCTGAGCTCTTTTGACCACCTTGATGACCAGGTACCCATATAATGAATATCCATACAGACATATAAAATAGTCATAGTGATTTTTTAAAAATATCAAATCAAGCATAACAAGCCAGCCAAAGTTCAAGTACCTGCAATTAACTGACTCACAAGGCTCAGGCAGTGTTAATGTCATAAATACATGGCATCTTGGGAATCAGAGTGATAACCGCTTTCAAAGTTTAAAATTCAAGATATGCATAAAGCTCAGCACAGCAGCATATACTTGACATATAAAAAAACCTATATTCCATGGCTATCACCCAATAATAAAAAATGAATTGAAAGACTCTAAATGCATTTGTAAGCCCCCTCAGCCATAAGACATTTTTCTAAAACCTTACACTCACTCTCTCTTGAAACAGGACAGTTGCCCACACACATATATGCTTGACTGCTCATCCTCCTGTGTCCTTGTGAATAATCTTCAAACATAACTCCATTCTGGGAATTGAGGCAAAGACAACCCACAGATATTGTCTCAGTTCCTGATGTATTGATTTAGTCACTAGAACAAGGTCAGGAAGGCCCACAGATGCTCTCCCTTATAGCACCCAATCACGTAGCTATTCTCCTGCCCTGGAATAGACCAATCACTGCTAGTAATGACTTAGATGGCCCTATCCTTGTAACTTCTCACACATTTCTCTCTTTGGTAACTTCCACTCACTATAAGCTGCTAGGTTTCCACTGAAGTTGTGTCATAACTTAGGAATCTTAACATCTTTGGGCTCAAAATGTAACCCAGTATGCTGTGAAATAATAATTTTAAATGTGTTATATTTATTTATGTTGTGGAGCATTTGTTTAAATGATGCAAAAAAATTGCTCCATTGGTTTAGCTCTATGAAGTTGTGATGCTTTGCCTATTTAAAATACCTGGTTGCCATTGTGATAGTGGGGCTGATCTAATGGGAACTCACCAAGGCCAGCTGGACTGGGACTGATGGAGCATGTGATCAAACCGGACTCTCTGAATGTGGCTAACAAGGAGGGATGACTGAGAAGCCAAGGACAATAACACTGGGTTTTGATTCTACTGCATGTACTGGCTTTGGGAGAACCTAGTCTGTTTGGATGTTCACCTTCCTAGAACTGGCTGCGGGGGAGGACCTTGGACTTCCCACAGGGTAGGGAAACCTGACTGCTCTCTAGACTGGAGAGGGAGGGGGAGGGGGAGTGGAGGGAGTGGGAGGGATATGGGAGGAGATGAAAATTTTTAATAATAATAATAATAAAAATAAGACCTGAAAAAATAAAACAAAATACCTGGTTGGTCTAAAAAAGAATTGAATGACCAAACGCATGACAAGAAAGGATAGGCAGGGCTGCCAGGAAAAGAGAGTGAATGGGAGGGGAAATCTGGGAGGAAAAAAGAAAGAAGAGGCAACAAAAGGAGAAAACAACAGGAGCCTTTAATCCAGCTACACAGCAAGCCATGGGGTAAGAAATAAAGAGAGGAATACAGAATAAATATAAAGGCTAGGGGAAATTATAGAGAGAACAATTAAGTTAAAAACAACCTGCCTTGAAACAAGTAGAAGTCAAGCATTTATAAGGAAAAAAATAAGTCTCCCTGTGTGAAATTTACTTGAGAACTGAGTGCCAGGCCCTAAAGAAACAAGAGAGTAAAAGAAACAACCAACAACTCCACACCCAGTTTTAATCCTCACAGCTTCATGCAATGAACTCTCACTGTCTCCTCACTGGGCTTCTGACTCTACCAAACACAGATTCCTGCAACAATGGTAAACTGTAACCATAAACTAAAAAGCCATGATCTTAAATTTTGATTATTTTATGTTTCCAAAAATAAAAACACATGATTGGTGATGATGACAAGTTGGAATTCTTAATTGCAAAGGACACTAACATGCTTGGATCACAGGTGCAGAAGGTTTTGAATGAAGTAGCTTCCTAAGACTATGAATCACATTGCTCAATCTACCCTAAATTGAAGGTTTATGTGTATGGAGTCTTACCCTTAGGGCACCTTGATAAGCTTCCACTGCACAGTAATGGCTTTTCTGTAATGATGATAAACTCTTTGAAAATTCCTGCCTGTTGTAACACAAAATGCCCTTTGAAACTACCTTTTTATTTTCATTTATTTCTGCCCGACTTGGGTTTTTATACTGTACACCTAAATGAGTCACCAGTGATAACCTTTGAACAGCTTCAATATTCCATTTAAGACATTAGCCCATTACTTTTAAATTTGGCATTACTAAATTTCTAGAGCATAGGCAGAATGAGAAAAATTTGGAGCCAAAATATCACACAAAAGTCTGGATGGTGGTGACACAAGCCTTTAATCCCAGCACTCAGGAGGCAGAGGCAAGTGAATTCCTCTGAGTTTGAGGCCAGCCTGGTCTAAAAGAGCTAGTTTCAGGATAGGTAGAACTGTTACACACACACACACACACACACACACACACACACACACACACACACAAATCAGGCAAAAGACCTCAGGCTTAATTTTTTTCATTAAGTTTATTTTCAACTGAGGTCCTATGATCTCAATACCCACTTTCTGACATTACATTTTCATTTTCCTGGTCCCACAAGAACAGTTAATTATGTTCAGGTTTCTATTTTCTTTGTCACATAAAAATCTTGATATCTTCCACATTCTTGCAAAACTCATCATTCCTAAATTCTGACAAACAAAATGAACTTTTGTGTTATAATTGTGCTGCCTGCTTTTATGCTATTGTGATTAAATCCTCAAACTGAAAGCATCTCAGGCAGTAAATGGAATTATTTCATTGATTGTGTCAAATCACACTCAATCATTTTGGAAATGTAGGAAAAACTGCAAGTTAACAATTGAAGGCAAAACTCACCTGGAAAGACTGTTTACAGTCTTTCTCTCTTGCCTAATCACTACCTCATGCTCAGAATGCTCCATATCCCAGCACAGGTCCACCTTCTTAGGGGCTTCCTGCATCAATCATCAATCAACACAATCTCTCACAGACAGCAGTTTCTGGCTGTTATGAACAGAATCATACAAGTGTCCATGTGCTAGAATGGAAGAGCATGTTTTGGGAAACTGCACAGAGTGGTATACCTGGGTCTTGGGATAGATTGATTCCCAATTTTCTGAGGATTGCATATTGATTTCCACAGTGACTGGACAAGTTTGCACTGCAGTGAGTCCCCTTGATCCACATCCTTGGAGCATTAGCTGTCACTTGTGTTGTTGAACTCATCATTTCTGTCAGGTTTATGATGAAATCTCCTGATGGCTAATGATACTGAACACATTTTTAAATTTGTCTCATCTATTTCAGATTCCTCTACTGAAAATTCCATTGGGAGATGTACCCCACCATATTTGAATGATTTGTTTGCTGTCTGGTTGCACATGTATTTATTATCATGAGTGATCTAACCCAGAAGCATATAAACCAATATGATATACTCAGTTATTAGTGGATATTAGCAGTTAAGTTAAGTACAACCATAGTCAATCACAGTACAATCTATAGACGCAGAAAGCCTAAGTAACAAGAACGGATCTAGGGGACATGCATGGATTTCTCTGGGAAGACAGAATAGATTTTGTGGGTGCACTGGAGGCAGGTGGGGATGGGAACAGAAAAGATCAAGTAAGCAAGAGACAGAGATGAAGTATAGGAGGGAGAGATGACAGGAATAATGGAGCTGTGTGCACAAGATGTGGAAACAGTTCTCTGCAAACTTCCAGAAGTACAAGAAAGACACTATTGAAGATTCCTAGTAGTGAGAATTACAGAGGCTGAACCAGCCATCTTCTGTAAAACCATAAGGCTCCCAGTGGTGGGACTGGGACACAAAATCAGTCACTAAACTTAGAACTACACTTGTTCTGCTAGCAAGATACACTGGAGAAAAGGTGCCTCAGTGTTTGTGAAGTGAACAACCAATGACTGGTATAACTTTTAGTCCAAAATCAGAGAGGAAACCAATGTCTGATACTGCCAGGATGACCAGGAACCAGAAATTGGTTGCTTCCAAATTAGGGTAGAACCAAATACAACTGAACAAGAAAAAAAGAAATGAAATGAGTCATATCTAAAATCATACATTGATTCCAAGCACAAATGTAACTAGAGAGAATTCTTCCAGCAGCTGATGGCTGCACAGGCAGAGAACTCTACCC